GACAGCGCACCTCAAGCTCAAACTCGGCCGGTTCCAGGAACGTCTTTCCGTAGGAAACCTCCTTCCCCTTCCTGGGACCGGCAATGCACTGAGGTTTATCGTAAAATGTCCGACGCGTTTATGCTTTGCCGGAAACGTGGAACAACCGTGCAAAGAGCCTCATCAAAGCCAAGAAACGCAAATACTGGCAGCAATTTGTGGACGGATTATCACGCGACACTTCGATGAATACGCTTTGGAACGCGGCGCGAATGATGCGTAACCGGTCTTCAAACAACGACAGCGAGGAGTACTCGGATCGTTGAATTCTCAAGTTCGTGCGAAAAGTATGTCCTGATTCCGTGCCAGCACAGATGATTCCTTGCGAAACGAGGAATTCGGTAGACGAGATCAGCTAGCCTTTTTCAATGCTGGAGCTTTCACTCGCACTCCTTTCGTGTGGTAATTCGGCTCCGGGGGCTTATACGATCAAGTTCAACTAGTTGAAGAACCTCTCAGATGTCGCTAAGAGACACATTTTGAACTTGTTTGGTCAGTTCCTGGAGCTCAATATTGTTCCAGATGATCTGAGGTGGGTGAGAGTTATAGCCATTAAAAAGCCTGGCAAACCTGCGTCAGATTGCACCGATCTATCGCGATGATGTCGTGCATTCGACAATTGTTGGGGAAAATGATACTTTTTCGTATCGACAAATGGGCAGATACTCAATTTCGTTTCCGTAGGGGTAAGGGAATGAACGAATGTCTCGCGTTGCTTTCCACAGAAATTCCGTTAGCTTTTGCTATAAAATAGCAACTGACTTCTGTGCTTTTGGATATCAAGGAGGCTTTTGATTCAGTTCCGGTTGACGTCCTATCAGACAAACTCCATGCATGTGGCCTTTCTTTATTAATTAATAATTTTTTGTACAATTTGCTGTCAGAGAAACATATGAGCTTTTCTCATGGAAAGTTTTCAGCTTCACGAATTAGCTACATGCATTTCTACGCCACAGAAATTGACAATTGTGACAACAGGACGTTGAGACAACTTGCAGATGACGGCGTAGTGCCTGTCACAGGGCCTAAAGGGGTCGATTTGCAAGGGTTCTTACAGGATACCTTAGACAATTTGTCTACTTGGGCTATTCAGTCCGGTATTGAACTCTCCACGGAGAAAACTGAGTTGGTCGTTTTTTTTTTCCAGGAATCATAGCCCAGCACAACCAAAGCTTCAACTTTTGGGTAAACCGATCACTCATTCTATGTCGTTCAAATATCTTGAGATCAATTCCAAATGCACCTGGAGATCCCACATTGAGTATCTGAAGCGGAAATGCCAACCAATGATCAATTTTCTCCGAACAATTACCGGAACGTGGTGGAGAGCTCATCCGCAAGATCTTCTAACGTTGTACCGGACAACGTATCTTTCGGTTTTAGAGTTCGGTAGTTTTTGTTTTCATTCGACGGACAAAAGACATATAATCATACTAGAACGTATCCAGTATCGCTGTCTTCAAATCGCGTTAGGATGCATGCACTCGACTCATACGACGAGTCTCGAAGTATTAGCGGGCATGTTGCCACTCTCTGATCGATTTTCTGAATTGTTCCTCAAGCTCTTCAACCGGTGTGAAATTATGAACCCCCTGATGATTGCAATTCTTGAGCTAAACCCTCAAACTCGTTTTATGTCATTGTACTACGTGTACATAACACAGGATGTCAGCCCTTCACAGCATTATCCCAATTGTGTTTGCTTCTCTGATTTCGACAATTCTGCTCAATTTGAGAGAGAGAAAGATTAGTAATTTCCATTTAATTCCACTACCTTATTTGCTTATCCTTGACAGATACGCGTATTTCGTCTACAATATGCAGACTTCTTCAGTGTCTTGTACTAATACTCTGCACATTATAGACGAAATACGCGTATCTGTCAAGGATAAGCAAATATGGTAGAGGAATTAAATGGAAATTACTAATTTTTCTCTCTCTCTCCTTATACAGGTATTCCACTAAGACGCCCACATTCATCAGGATTTGCTCAATTTGATTTATGTGAGATTCGTGAGATCCCAGAGCATCACCGCTCCATGTTTGTTCCGTCAATTTTCCGTATTTATAACGAATTTCATAGCGCCTCTCGAATGCCTCAAACTCCTTGTTCCGTATATGTTGCTGAGCTGGCGGCAATTCATTATACACTAGAAACTATCGCCTCACTTGCACCAGATCACTACTTTATTTTTACGGATAGTCTCAGTTCTGTTAAGGCTATTCACTCCACGAGGCCGGTAAAGCACTTCTCGTATTTTCATGACAGCTTCCAAGTGCTTTATCTTTAAGATCTTTTGTCATCACCTTTGCATGGGTTCCATTTCATTGCTCGATTCCGGGTCCTGATGTGGTGGAAAAATGCCCGGATGAAAAAATGCTACAAGGTTTTAATAGCGATCGTCGAATATTCATCGGATCCTCCATTTGGCAAACTCTTTACCTTACATACATAAGTATTCTTTTAGCAACATGGCAAGGCATGGATTCCAAAATAGTGCCAGTCAACTATTTTTGTATTTTACTCGTTGAGTCCATTCCATACATTGCATGGGTGCAGACGCATAAAGGGTGATACGGTCAAAATTTGGTCAATATCAACTTGACGTATTTCTTTCAATTTTGCATTTAAAAAACCTGAACACCCCTCATTTTGAAGGTGTGTGTGTGTAGAATGTTGCTCCTATTTTGATTTTGGAATTCACTCTTCAGTTGTCAAAATGCCGTCCAAGCAAGAAGAACAGCGTATCAAAATTTTGCTCGCGCATCGCGAAAATCCGAGCTACTCGCACGCAAAGTTGGCAAAATCGCTAAAAGTTGCCAAATCAACCGTTACAAATGTAATTAAAGTGTTTGGGGAACGTTTGTCGACAGCCAGGAAGTCTGGATCGGAGGGAAATCGAAAACCGGAAGCCGCTGAGACGACAAAGAGAGTTGCCGGTAGTTTCAAGCGAAACCCTAACCTCTCTCTCCGAGATGCCGCAAATAAGCTGGGTGTATCGTCTACAACCGTGCATCGAGCCAAAAAACGAGCCGGACTATCGACTTACAAGAAGGTAGTGACTCCAAATCGCGATGATAAACAAAATACGACGGCCAAAGCGCGATCCCGGAGGCTGTACACGACGATGCTGACGAAGTTTGACTGCGTGGTAATGGACGACGAAACCTACGTCAAAGCCGACTACAAGCAGCTTCCGGGACAGGAGTTTTATACGGCAAAAGGAAGGGGAAAGGTAGCAGATGTTTTCAAGCACATGAAACTGTCAAAGTTCGCAAAGAAATATCTGGTTTGGCAAGCCATCTGTACCTGTGGCTTGAAAAGCAGCATTTTCATAGCTTCCGGGACTGTCAACCAAGAAATTTACGTGAAAGAGTGTTTGAATAAACGTCTGCTGCCTTTCCTGAAGAAACACGGTTGTTCCGTACTGTTTTGGCCGGATTTGGCATCTTGCCATTACGGTAAAAAGGCCATGGAGTGGTACGCCGCCAACAACGTGCAGGTGGTTCCCAAGGACAAGAACCCTCCCAACACGCCAGAGCTCCGCCCAATTGAGAAATACTGGGCTATTGTCAAGCGGAACCTAAAGAAGACCAAAAAAACTGCTAAGGGCGAGCAGCAGTTCAAGGTAAACTGGCTTTCTGCGGCGAAGAAGGTGGACAAGGTGGCTGTACAAAATCTGATGGCAGGGGTCAAGCGTAAGGCCCGGCAATTCGGATTTGGAAAAGCGGAAGCCTAACTGAATATTTTTCCTGAATTTTATACTAATTGAACTTGAAAAAGAAATTTAATTTGATTTTTTAAATAAACGATTTCACCGATTTACACGCGTTTTCCCTTGACCAAATTTTGACCGTATCACCCTTTATTCGCCGGCTGAAAGTTGCTATCTCGAATTCGAATCAACTATCTTGGATTCCAAAATGGCGGCGAACATGAGTTTAACTTTTGGAGTCCATTCCGTACATAGCCACATTGTATGATGTCGGGAGCTCTCCAGGATAAGTAAAAGTGCTTTTGGGGCAAGTTGGACGAAACATTCAGAGAAAATTGCCGAAGGTGATGGAAGACACTTTCGGGAGAAGTCAGAAGAATTCCTGGGGAATATCAGGAGAAGCTTCCAGGTTAAATTCCAAGAATTTTCCGGTAGCAGCCATAAGAAACTTTTGTAGGAAGTCTGGAGAAAAAAAAACTCACAGATGATGTAGGTAGAAGCTTCCGGAAGAAAATAGGGGAAGTTCGAAGAAGCTTCCAGTGGAAGATGTTAGAACCCTCCGAATAAAACTTGACACCTGGAAGACCCTTCTTGAACAAATCAAAACAAAATGCTTCCAGGCAAATCTGCTGAATCTTCAAAATAAATCGGAAGAACCTTCTGGAGGTAGTTAAAATAAGTTTCTGAATGAAGTCAGAAGAGCCGGGGAATTGAAATGAAATACTTTCATATGCTATTTGAGGCTACTACAGGCATTTTTTTTCTCGGGGAAACTTGATCAGACGATTTCTGTTTACATATTTATTCAAAATAATTGAAGGAAAACGGACTCAAATTATGCACAATCAACTATTTCGTACTTTATACTGAATAAATCGTCGAGAAATAGAGGTAAATTTATGAAAATTTATATGAGAAAAGTAGGTTAAGTATAAAGTGGTCTAATTTCCAGATAGGGAGAATATCAAGCTAGGAAGATTAAGTTGACTGTATGCCATGTGAAGAAGTTGACTCCCAATTAGCAAACAAACATGCAATTCTCTGTGATGGCACCAATGATCGGTACTGATTGACGAATCACGTTTTTCTTAGACTCGTGCAATCAGCATCGAAACAAATTATTATAGAATCATTTAAATGTACGTTTATAGCCCCAATTTTTGATCGAAATTCATCCCATCAAATGTTTCTATGAAAGAATCAACAGCAACTAAAACTCGCCTCAGATTCCTGTTGAATACTCACCCGTTTTCCCAACTCCGCTCTGGCCCAGAACCAGCACCCGAAAGGGTTTCGCTTTGGAATGTAGTCCCAGCTTCACCAATGACGATTTAGGCGATGTGGTATTCATTTTTCGGTTTCCTGATGCAAGACTTTTTTTTGCCACCGTCAAATGGTTGGGGTTGACGACGATCTTCGTGGAATCCTTTACATGCGCCACATCCTGTATGCTGTTGAACAACTTTGGCAGTAACAATGTCAACGGGAGGCACGAGTTACGAATGCTGAGACACAGTCAGAGGAACAAACTTTTCCAATAAATCGCTTTTCCCTCAATAGTCCGAAACTAGTGACACTTTAACAGTTCTTTGAACTTTCCTCTGTCTTGGAATGTGTATGCTATTACATGTGTTCCGAATCACTTTGTCAGACATAAATGCGTAGATAGGAAAAATTGCTAGATAAACACTCAATTAATAATCATTCACTGTTTTCCACTTAAGTACAGCACGTTCGGCGCGTTTATGCGCTATGATCATCTGGACGATAAATTACAATTATATTTGACCAACCAGCAATAGCAGCACAAGAAGCAGAAAGCGTGTTTGCTTTCATTCACTCGACGCACGATAATTTTGCACTTGGCATTTCGGTCAAATTGATAGCCAGTTACTTGGTCGGTCGGAAAATTACGATCACTACCGGTGTAAACACTAATTGATTTTCCCTGAGTTTATTTAGCATTCAGGCGATACCGATACGATGCTGGCTGGAATTCATTTTTCACAACGGTTCATTGTCGTAGTTTTATGGGTTTTCTCTGCATCCTGGACGGAGGTGTGTAATTTATTTTCATCCCAGCCTCTTCCGATCCATTTGAGGAAGCCTTTGTTTACGCTTCCAATATCCTGTAGGCCCAGGGTGGCCGGTTCAAGTGAAAGACGGTATATCTCGTGTGGTTTTCCTACAGAAGATATGTACACTAGTACGAACGTACTTGACCCTTCACCTCCGTTGTGCTTCCGAAAGCATTTACCGTAAACAGAAACATGAGTACGTAGTCGATTGAAACTGCACCACTCCTACCACTATATCCGTTAATTATACATCCACCCTCTCTTGGCTGTCCGTAACGCACGCTATATTTAAACGGGTAGTTCGAATCCTTGTTTACACTCAACTGGTGTTCTGTGTATGTTCACATTCGTTTTCCCACTACTGGTTGATCACCGAGATTTTCCGATCCTATTCGTTTGCCGTACCAACCGCAAATAACCAATGCTCAGCACTTTACGAGTCAATTTATATAAACACCCATTCACTCTCTACGCAGTCAAATATCTCTCACAAATTAATTTTCTCTCCTGCTCCTCTGACTCTCTGTTTTGATTTTCCACGCGCGCAATTTTCCACCCATCGAGCACGTTGCTGCCACCTGTTGATATCGTTTCCCTGGCTGCAGTTTGCGGTGAGTACGAAAGGTGGTAGTCACTTGAAAAGGAAAATTCTCATGAATGGCAATCTCTGTTTCGCTGTATCTATTTTGTTTGTAGCAGGTGATGGGCGGTGACCGTTGGAGTCGAATCCCTACTGCGCCCCACTTCGCTTCCAATGCAGGCTGTAATCGAAATCTAAATCGTAGCTACATCCAGCAGGTAACAAGACAACAATGTTTCCATACTAAAGAATGTTGTTTTCCGAGCGCTCCCTGTTCCTGGGATTTGCCATTTGCTAGAAAAATGTGAGATAATTTTATTTTTCAACGAAATTCCGGCGACTTCCTAAAGCAGATTTTATTTTTGCTAAGCGGTTTCGGTGCACGTCTTAAAGAAAGCGTTGTCTGTTGTTGAGTTAATCAAAGAGAAAATGTGATTAGATGCCAACAGCTGAACATTTAAGAGTCGCGTTTGCAAATTAAATAAATCTACCGAAATCGGGTTTTTGAACAACTGAAATAGTCATTTAAAATGTATACTACCGTTACATGTAAGAAATCAATAAAATTTAGAGATTTTGTTCTTATCATTAAATGGGGTTAACTGAACAATGTCTGCCAACTTTTACCGAGCAGTTTCATAGATCAAAAGTTACTGACCAGCAGAAGCCTGGATAAGTGTGTATCAATCAAGCATTAATTAAACATTTTAATGGTTACACTGAAACCTCCGTTTACGAAGTCTTTTTTTTACGCAGTATTCTATTTATGTCCCTCTTTTTACGAAGCTTATCCCATATAACGAGATTTCTTTTTACGAAGTAAATTCCAAATAACGCGTTTTTTTTTTTGCGATTTTCGGAAACTGGGATACACTGTGAAATACCCCACAATATTGGTTGTGTATTTTTGGAATCGAAGTGACGTGTAGGAACCAGAAATCGATGTCTGACGCCATTTAGAAATCAAAAATGGTGGCTTCCGGTTACAGAAAAAACGAAAAATACTGTCAAATACCCCAAACTACGGGTATCTTTGAAAAAGGATTGACGTTTAGGGACCGAAAATTCATGTCTGTCACCATTTTGATAGCCAAGATGGCGGCTTCCGATAACGGAAAAACTTAGACATTCTGTTAACTATCCCACAATATGGGTATTTTTGGAAGTGGAGTGGCGATTAGGGACCAGAAATTGATGTCTGACATCTGTTACATATTTTTACCGAGAAACACAAGGTACTCTCTGGGAGTTTTTTGATGAGGATATAGAAAATTCCATCATCGCCTGGAGCTTGCATATTATGAAACTTTTTAACCATAGATCTTACTTCGTCCAAATCAGTCCCCCAGGAATCATCAAAAATACTTTCTCGAGAGAGAATATTCAGATAATCCCGAGCAACCTGATTCTCAATAGTACTATTAAGACCCAAACTAAAATTACGGGAACTCTCGAATTGCTTAGCAAGTTTTTGAGCTTTTTCCGAATTTGTGATCAAAATTTTACCACCTTTTTTAAGCGCTGGAATAGGCTTTTGAGCTTTTTTCAAAATTTTTGTGGGTTTCCAAAAATGAAGAATTCAGACCTATGACGGGTAAGTTTCTGAAGGTCACCCTTGAGAAAATTCTTTTGCTGGCCTACGCATTGGAAAGGCAAATAGGCAGCTATAAACGTAAGTTGTCCAAATTTTGTTTCAACAGAACCTCCCAAATTTTCAAAAAAATTTGTTTCAAATGAAAAAAAAAAGTAGAAGGGTCTGTGCCTAGGTGTACGAAGGGAAGCTTTACGTAGGACCGCTAGTGGACGGAACAAATGTGAAGAGCATTTAGTTCTTTGATCAATCATCAATTATCTTAACTCTTTCCGTTTTTGATCTACACTAAATTTGTAGTATTTTTTTTTTTCAAAGAGAAAGTTGATGAAGAGAATCAATCAAAATCACTTGCACCCCTGCTTCTAAGTTTGATTACAAAATTACAATTATGTGTGGTCGTTGGGGGCCTGTGATTCTGAATACGGACAGACATGCACAGATAAATTATATTCCAACTCTTTACTGTTATAAGCTTGTTGGCCCTGAAAAGGCCGTTTTATTGTAGACGACACCCATGACTGCTTACGCTTGGCGTGTTCAGAGTAGGTGACAGCATCACGGATCACATTTTCCAGGAACAGGAATTTGTGTGGTTTACATGTATAGCTCATCAAGTGACATAGATGCGTCTTTTCAACTTTAGTTCCTTTGAAATTTTAATTATTATTAATTACAGTTCCTAGTTCTATCAGGCCTGTTTTAAGAATGACCACCTTGGTGGGATTGGTTTGTTTTAAATTTGAAAAAGGAGACTACTTGTAACTACTATTTACAACTATAACTAACCTACAACTACTATATACACCTAATCTACTATATACAAATTGCTTTTCAAAGCATGTTCTGATAAATTACATTTTTGGGCAAATTTAGTCTTAATTTCTTTAATTCTGTTATTCTAATGTCGAACGGACGATCAAGAACCATCCTCAGCACTCTATTCTGAACGACCTGAATTTTGTTCCTGTGAGTCTGTGCACATGATTCCCGCACCGGACCTGCGTATAGAATCGCAGGTGCTATGATTTGTTTGTAGACAGCCAGTTTGTTCACCCTTGAGAGGCGGGATCTGCGGCAAATCAGCGGATACAGACACCTAACCAAGGCAGAACACTTGACTACAGTTTTCTCTACATGCGAATGGAAGAGGAGCTTTTCATCGAACAACATCCCGAGATAGGTAACTTCGGCAGACCACTCAACCCTTGTGCCATCCATGATTACAGTACAAGATGGAGCCGGTTTCAGTTTGGGCGATTGCCGATGGAGGAACATGATCGCTTGTGTTTTGGAGGGATTTTTTTTAATTCTCCACGTGGTGGCATAATCAGCAAAGGCGATAAGGCATCGTTGAAGTTTGTTCGTTATTTCGCGAGGCATCCTTCCTTTGACGGCTATTGCGGTATCATCTGCGAACAGGAAAAACACGCAACCGTCACCGAGGGGAGGAATGTCGAAAGTATAAATGCTGTATAGTAAGGGGCCCAGCAGACTGCCTTGCGAGACTCCTGCTGGGATGGAAAACGTGTCTGAAAGACAACCATTCAACGATACCTTAAACGACCTTTGCTGAAGGTAGTTACGGGTGATTTTTTTTTTTCCTTTGGATCTTGTTTTCCGTGCTGAGCACCAATGCTACCGACGTGCCAGGAAGGCAGCTCCCACACCTGGACCCTACCTATCGACCCATCAACTCATGAACCGGGGACCAACGGCTTTACTTCCCATCCGAAGGAAGGCGTGATAAGAGATGTTATGCCTCAGAACATCCCGGCGGCGCCGACTGGGATTGAACCCAGGCCTGCTGGGGTGAGAGGTAATCACGCTTACCACTACACCACCGGCGCCGTGACGGGTGATTTTAACCAGATGTAATGGGAAGTTGAAGTTACAAAGCTTGTACACAAGTCCGTCAGGCCAAACATTGTCAAACGCCTTTTCAACGTCTAACAAGGTCATGGCTGTGCACATCACCCGATCATGATTGGTGGAGTGCCTCTTTCTGAATCCAAACTGTTCCGGAAGGAGAATGTTATTTTCCTCGACAAACTTGAGCAAACGATTGAGAATAAGTTTCTCGAACAATTTGCTCAGCGCTGAAAGGAGGCTGATTGGTCTGTAGCTTGAAGACAATATTGGATCCTTTCCGGGTTTGCGGTTTGGTATGATTTTTGCTACTTTCCAGATACTTGGAAAGTAGTGCAGCTCCAAACATCTGTTGAAGATAGCGGTTAGAAGAGACTGCAATTCAGGCTGAGTCTCTTCAAGATCAAGTTTAATATACCGTCAAACCCGGGAGCCTTCATGTTCTTGATGCATTTCAGCGCTGAGCAAATTTGTTGTACTGTAATCATATATGCCCCGTAACGTGGGTAGATCACTTTTTCGTGGTACGTTACGGGATGTAAGATCTACCACCGATTCCTAGTCCTAACTACTTCAAACTAGGAGAACAGGATTTTTTAGTAATCCAAGGAACCAGGGTTACTTCCACTCACTTGCTATAAAAAATTGTGTTTCCGAATTATGAAAACATTAGATGTGATAATGATAATAAGTACTTGTAAATTACAAGAAGAGGTCGTGAAGTATGTGTTTGACACATTAAACCTGTCAATATTGCTTTCAGTGCGTCACAATCAGCGATTTAACGACTCGTGAGCGCTCACTCAGAGTGAACGCTCGCGAATCATAAGATGGCCGATTGTGACGCTCTGAAAGCGAAATTGACAGGTTTTATGAGTCAAACACATTCTTTACACCCTTTTCTTGTTGCTTACAAGTACAGCATATCATTATATCATCTTATGATCTCATAAATTAGAAAACCATTGTTTTATAGCAAGTGAGTGGAAGCAACCCTGCAAGGAACACATCTTAGTCCTTGCTACTTTTTATGCCTTGTTGATAGTGACAAGACTCGGCTTTGTCTACCGAGGATGATCTTGAAACAAGGAAAACAAATGAGTTAGTTGTCTTCATCTATGTGATTCCTAATCTTCTATTCGTTGTTTCCTAGTTTGAAGTGGTAAGACTAGGGTTATGGTCATAATCGGCGTCATACCTTAATTTTGTTGCTAAGGAATCCAATTTTGACTGACAAAGGGGCGCGCCTTTGGAGGGTGTTTCAGCACTCTGAAGGGTATAAATAGCGGGACCTTTCAATTAGAGTCGGATCCTTGCGATAAATGCAAGAGTGGCAACTGTAAAAAAATCGAATAC